GTATTGCGGCGTGACCATCCCCCCGGGGGGTGATTTCTCGCTTTCCGTCTCTCTGCCTCTCTCTGTCTGTCTGGCGAGCGCACATGCCCCATAGCAAAAACCTCTCCACAAAGAAAAAAGTACAGTTAATGGGCTAGGTGATACAGGTTTTTTCAGGTACCTGTTCTATTCAGTAAATGGAACTTGTACAGGAAATTTTTCATCTGGTTACCATGTTTAAGTCACAGTTATGAAATAAATGCAGATTTTTAGAAATGGTAGGTTTGTTAATATTCTCACTAGTTGCTGATTTTGTAAAAGCAAATACGGACCACTTTCGTTTTATTTTGTTTGTTATTGGCAGAGTGCGTGTGCACTCAGCAGAGAGGTAGAGGAAGCACCCAGTGGGGCTTGGGCACGTCCAGTCCTACCTGTCAGGGTTTTGGACACACACATGCACCAGGTGGGTTTTTCAAGCCACTGGGCTGTGATTTGAACTGCAATTGGCTATGTCAGCCCCATTTATTCTATAACTAAGATTAATCTTATCCTAAAGTATCAATGTGTTTTAATAACCTATATGTATAGGTTTTGAATTTGAGCTTTGATTTCGTGCTCTTCTGTTTCCCGGTATAATACCTTGGTCTCTGAGCCATATTTTACCCACCCGGAAAGTGAGTAATAAACTGAGAATATCTCTGAATTAGAGACAGTTATGAAATACCAATAGAAACGGTAAAGCCCTCTACTAATGTTCAATACCACCTGTTACCGGAACTACTCAATTTTACGATGTCTGTTAGGAAGAGGCAGCTAGAATTGGAATCAGAGCTTCAGTCTTTGCAGAAAGCGAACCTTAATCTTGAAAACCTTCTGGAAGCAACCAAAGCCTGCAAGCGGCAAGAAGTTTCCCAGCTGAATAAAATTCACGCCGAAACACTGAAGGTGGGTAATCCCAAGCAGCACTCCTTCTAAAACCAGGGCCGTCCCGTGCCATTAATACGGCGGGAGTCTGCCCTGCTCATCTCATACCCGGGCTGAACCTGTGAAGGCAGCGAGCACTGGGTCACACTGCTCCTGGTGTCCGAGGCTCCCCGTGGGGAGGGTGTGGAGGGACCCAGCATCCCACTGTCATGACGCTGACCGCCACC